GAGCCCAGCAGTGGCTATCCCCTCCCCCTCCCCCTCCTCATCAGCTACTGCCATGTTCTCTTCTTCTTGCTGGGCCCAGTCGGAGGTCTGGGCTACGAAAGGGACCAGGGTTTGGGTCTGCTTCTTGTTTTTCAGAGAGAGGGAGAGGAGGGGGGAGAAGGGTTTGGAGGGGAGGGAGAGGAGAGGGGTTTTGAAGGGGAGGGGGAGGGTGGAGGTGGTGGTGGGGGAGGGGAGGGAGAGGAGGACGAGGATGAGGGAGGTCGAAGAAGAAGAAGACATTGTGAGGGGGGGAGAGAGGATAAAGAGGGAGTGGGGTTGAGTTGGGTTGAGTTGAGAGAGGGAGGGTTTCGTTTTGGGTAGGGTTTGAGGGGAGAAGAGAGGTGGAGGACGCTGGATATGTCTTTGATGAGTTTTTGTCAGATATGCCCTCCCACATTTTTCATATTTTCACATGCACCCCTGCAATCTAGACATTTGCCAATTTATCCTCTATTCAGTTGCTATTTATCCTTCAAATCCTGCTATTTATCACTTTGGTACCGTAAAGTAGTTCCTTTCTTAGCACTTTAATTCTCCAAACTTTCAACCCCAGCATTTCACTTATACGGCTGAAAGCTTTTCTTCAATACGTTGATAACCCCCCAATCACATTTCATATTGATACCTTACTAAAATTCCGTTTCAGATTTCCTGATAAATCTATATTACGTCGTTAGCATGAGAAACATTTCGATCCGTTTTATCCAGTTGTGAAGCGATACAAATTTAAGGCAAAATGTAGCGGGGTCTCGAAAGGACAGCAAAGCGAAAAGGGATTGAAACGTTGAGATATCAAAGTGTTTGAAAATATTTTTGAGTATCAAAGTAGGATTGAAAAATATACTTTAACATATGAAAATGAGAAGATGGATGAACATTTGGTTTACCAAAGTGAAAAGTAACCCCTTTTAATTTCTTTGAACGCCCTTATTATTCATATCATTCTAAATACCATTTTGCTCTCTAAATTTTGTTTCTCAGTTTATTCTCGCGTTAACTCTAAGCAAAACAATACATTAGAAAAAACTTTTAAGGAAAAAATTTGAATTCTTTTGAATTGATTTTTTTTCTGAAATATTTAAATTGAGAACTCATTTCTCATGTTGGTATGTTAGACCCTTCCCAACCTCTTTCCAACCTTTCCAAGCGAATCCAAAGAGCCCCTGTACAGAAGGAAAGCCTATGTCATGGGATATGTGGCCATTGAGCTCTAGGATCCTGGAGGTCTTCCAGTACTTTGCGGAGGGTGGGTCCCACATGAAGAGAAACAGCAATCAGCAAAATTACAGGATGACAGATTTTGTTTCTGTCCGGTCGACCAGAAACGTGCACAAGACAGGGATGAGTTTCTGACCACGACCGGTCGACCGCGGCGGTCGACCACCAAACCATGTAATCGATTTTTAGTTCCTGTCATTTGCCACGGTCAACCGCGACTTTGTCGGCGGTCGACCACCAATCGGGTTTGGGCTTGGGCTTTGTTTTCTGTTTGCTTTGGAATTGTGTTTTGGTATATATTGAAACACGATTTTCTAGGGTTCCTAATCAGGGATTAGATAGTGTTCTGAGCATATTGAGAGGGAGAATTTGTGCAAGTTGAGAGATCTTTTAGTTGGGTTAATTTTCGAGTGTTTGAGAGATTTGTAACCCTTTGTACTTCCCTTGATTTAGTGGAATCTCCACATCTTCTCCTTATGGACGTAGGAAAATTGTCGAACCTCGTATATCTATGTGTTTACGATTGGTTTGTCGTATTTTGGATTGGATTGTACTCGTGTTTGGTTTGTTAATCTTCTCTCGTGCCTCACGAACTCGTTTGGTGTGTGAGCACGCTTCCGCAAAGGCGCGCAACAATTAGTATCAGAGCTCAGATTTAAGATCTAGGATTTTGGCATTGGGTGAAAGAAGATTCGTCGTGGAAACTTAGTTCTTGGAGTTCTAAGCTTCGGTGGAGATAGTGTTTGGGTTTGCCGTTGAAGATTTCTCTTTCCTTGTGTGGTTAGGAGATCTATTTGGAATCTATTTCTAAGGTTCAGTTGGGTAACTTCTAAATTCTATCAAGTTTAAATTTTTTTATAATTTAGAGTTTGTGAGTATGGGTAAAGAAGTTGGTGAAAGCAACAAGATGGCGGGTACAGTTTAAGTTGGTTTTCAGAACACCAAGATTAGTGTGGTTAAATATGACTGCAAGATTAATTTTGGTTTGTGGATGAGTGACGTACAGGATGCACTCAATGCTCTGAATTTGGACGAGACCATCATGGTCCGTGAGAGGGCACCAAAATATGAAGAGGTGGTATGGGAAAAGATAAATAGGAATGCTTGTGGGGTGATTAGGTCCTGTTTGGAACAGGAGCTAAAGTATGATGTAATTGGGGTGACGTCTACAATGAAGATGTGGGGGATTCTCAACAATAAGTACCTTATGAAGAGTGTTGAGAACCGTTTGCACGTGCTACGAAAATTGTTTAGATTTCAGATGTCCAAGGGCACCTCACTAGCAGTTCATGTGAACAACTACACTAAGTTGTTGTCGGACTTGGCCAATGTGGATGAGAAGATTACGGATGAGTACAAGGCTATTATTCTTTTGGGTTTCTTACCGGATGAGGAGTATGATACATTCGTACTTACTTTGTTGAACGAGAGATCTTCTATCACATATAGTAAAGTTATTAATGCTTTGACGAACTATGATTTGAGAAAGAAGGACAAGGAGACTTCTAGCGCTAGTACTTCAGAAGAGGCCTTGTCAACGAGAGGTAGAAGCCCATATCCGAGAGGTAGTAATAGGAGCAAGTCAAAGTCTAGAGGCCTGTTAGCCTTGTTAAGTCTCATGTTTATGAGCATACTCCCTAATCTTGTTTTGATGATTATAAACAATTTCTAACAACGTATGTCAAGTGTTTGCATTTGTTTTGTTAGGTAATCTACACAAATATCCACGTCGGAGGTTGGGTGGAATTGCGCCATAACGATCATATCAAATGGAGGTTGACGAAAAGAGTGGAGTGAAGCAATACATTTCAAGTCAAGATCCAAGATCAAGCTTCTTCCGCAACCAAGACGAGCTATATTGAAGACTTTCATCTTGGGTATAATGTTTTAGGTGTTTATACTTATGTGTTTAATACTTCAAGCTCAATATTATACACACACAATTTATTGGTTTATCCATTTTCTTGTTTTATCTACAAACAAAGTTTTTACAAGCAAAATAAATATTTTTATACATACATGTTTATTTTCATGTGGATAAATGGTTTTGGGTTAGTGATATAGATATGAAACAAATATACATTCATATACATATTTATATGTTTCATATTTATCATTTTGTCAAATGCATATATTGTGCAAATCTTTATTTTTGTATAATATTAAGTTTTTAGTTTGTAGACTTCATAACAATATTTTATATCATTTCATTAAGCTTATAAAATTATTTTACAAAGTTTCAAATTTGTGTTTAAATCAAATGTCAAAAACATGTATGTTCAGTTTTTATGTTTTGGACTAGTTTTGTAAAATGACGAGTTTTTACTTTTGGGAAGTGCAAGTCCAAAATTTCTTTTTGTAACATATTCGTTTTCATGTTTACAAGCATTTCCAAAATTTGTTATTTTTAAAAGGGGTTTAAATTTTAGTTTTACTGTTCATTACAGACTGATAACATGTTATCAGTCAACTAATGGATCTTATCAGTCGACTGATGAACTCGCCTGGAATTGGCAAAAAAAATTGTTTTTTGCGACACTAGTGATAGTGGAAGATACGCGTTGTTTCTCGAGACCTAGCTACTGTGTAGAATCATCCATCATCCATGACCTCCTCCACTTCAGGTACAATGGAAAATATAAGGATCGTGTCAAGATTCGGGACTTTTTTTATCCTGAGATTATTTTAATTTATTATAATTCTGGGATACAATAATACTGGAGACTATAGTGAGTTAAATTTTGTATATTTTGTTTGGTTCAATTTGTTATTAACACGTTAGCGCCTATATCATGTTGGAGAACTTATCATTATAAAAATGATATCTATAGGATTATAACATAATATAAAATGTCCACAATACCCTTCTTCTTATCTGCCATTATTTTGTAAATAATCTACTCTGGCTTTAGATCTCGAACAAAGGCTTTGCGAAATACATTTAACTTTATGGCCCAATAATCAAGACAAGCAATAATCACACAAAATACAGGAAAATTTACGTGGTTCAACATTTTGCGTATGCCCCCGGGAGGAGCGGACTATGCTATATTTGAAGAAGAAGATGTAATAATATTTTCCTCTTGTTATTGACTCACAAGAGTAATCAATCTGGTTGTAAATCCTCACAAAAACAATAATAACATTGCTCTTGTAAATCGTCACAATCTTCTTCTTCTCATTCATCTTCTTGTATCATAGCATGAGGATTTAATGAGTATAAAGGCCGCCTTTCCATCAAATGCAATAAATATAGGATGCATTTCGTAACGCGACTTCATGTTTACTATCAGACAAAATTAACATTTGCCCTGTTCATCTGCTTTTATCTACAGTCGCATTGCTTTACCCCTATTTGCTTTTAAACCCATCTACTTTTTTGTCCCCCCTATGAGCCCAAAATTCTACACCCTTTTACTTTTAAATCCACGCACGTCCTAACCAGTCTGGACTCAATTGTATAAGCTATTTTCACCTCCTAGGCCAAACTTTTACTCTCACTGACTTTCAGACCCACCAACTTTTAGCTTTATATTATAAGCCAAAAGTTTTCTTTGTTTTTAAACAAATCCATCTGCTACCGCTAGTCTTCAAAGTAAATTTTACCCATAAACCAAAAAGTGTACTCTATTTACTTTTTAACATACCTGCTTCTAAAGAACGGTTTCTTATCTTTTTTGGTCCATGAAAATAAATTTCATTATCATGATCATTAATAGCGTATACAAACAATCTCAGGTATACCTAGGGGGGTGCAACGGTCGGTTCGGTTCGGTTTTTACCAAAATTTGAACAACTGAACCGAACCGACTATAATTCAAAACCGAACTGAACTGTTGCAAGTCGGTTCGGTGTGGTTCGGTTCGGTTTGTTCGGTTCTAACTTCATCAAACTTCTTATCAAACAACAAACTATGTTAAAGAAAAAAAGATATCAACAAAGTAGGAGATTATGAAGCATTAAACACTGATATAATGATATTATTTTAACGCCGTAATGTTGAAAATGAGTTTAGGGTTGAG